TCTCGAGATAAGCTATAAAAATATGCAATAAAATGTAGAGGGTTCCATTTAAAAAAATAAGGTTGACCTTGAAATGACCTTAAAGGACATGGTCAGGATCAAAGTCAAGGTCATTATCTTACTCCTCGTTTGAAACCATACAACTTTGCTATTGAACATTTTCTCCAAAATGCATTCTAACTGAAGATATTTGGGGGATCCGATACTTTTCGATGACCCTGTATATTTGGACTATGGTAGAGAACGAACCGCAACTGTCAGGACGTACGGCAAAGAAAAACGTACTGTTGCAGTCGTGACTGATCAGGAATAATACACACATTTTCCTGATCAGTCACAACTGCGACAGCTACGTTCTTCTGTGCTTTATCCTACGTCATGACTAATAAGACATCTCACCTAACAAGTACAAGAACTGATTGAGCACTCACTAAGGTTTTGCATCTGATTGACATATCCATTAGATCTAAAAAATATATATAGCCAAACAGATACAAGAATTCACTAAGCATTCAGTGATCAATCGTGCTTCTGGATGCACCCAGTACTGGCAGTACCTGGAAAACGATAATGTCTTGTACACGGTGTCATGAAACTAATTTTTAATGTCATATTTTTTATTTTTATATAATGATTTTTTTTACAGAATTGTTAAAGCTATTGATACTTGGTCAGAACAGATAGTAAATGATCACTACGCTGAGAGATTATAATTTGACATTTATTAATATGTGTGTGTGTGTGTGTGTGTGTATATATATGTATATCTATAATTTCATACTTAATATTTCAATATTTTTGTAGTCAGACGATAACGACGAACTGTCGAAAGCAATGGATTTTTAATAAATGACATATCGACTGAACAACATCGTCCTACAACAGCAGCATCTATACAGTCATCTGTAAGAATTTTAACACTTTAATTTCTCTTCTGTTCTCTCCTCTCTCTCTCCCCCCCCCCCCCCCCCTCTCTCTCTCTCTCTCTCTGTCACACACATACGTACACACACGCACATGAATGCACGCACGCACGTACATTCTCTTATTCACTAGTGCAAACAAATTGCTATCACTTTCACCTTATAAACAATTCTATTATTATTATACTCACTTATTTATTGTAATTTTTATGCAACGATTTTCCTAATAAACAGTCTTCATTACAGCTCGACACATCCGATACACGGATGAGAACGACTGAACGATGTCGTCCTACAACAGCAGCATCTATACAGTCATCTGTAAGAATATTTTAACACTTTAATTTCTCTTCTGTTCTCTCTCTCTCTCTCTCTGTCATACTCGCACACGCACGCACGCACATTCTCTTATTCACTGATGCAAACAAATTGCTACCACTTTCACTACTTTATAAACAATTCTATTATTATTATACTCATATATTTATTGTAATTTTTACGCAACAATTTTTCTGATAAACAGTCTTCAACACCGCTTGACACATCCGGTACACGGAAGAGAACTAGAGGCAGACGTGCAGGCGCACGTTCAACAAGAGCGCTTCATGCGTTTTCTTTATAAACTGTCTTCCGCTCATGATAATTGAGGAAAAAGATAATGGTAATTGTTTTTCTAAAAAAATACTATAATAATTATTAAAATTAGTATTAAATGTTTAAATTGTTTTAGCCACTTCCAAAATCTGGAACTGAAACCAAATCAGCCAAAAAAAAGAATCAAAGGTAATTTTTACCTTTCCTTTAGGAAATATTATATGTAATATTATTATTTTAGATATTAAATTTTAATAATATTTTACATCTAAAAATAATAATATAATTTTGCCTCATCACAGTCATCAAATCAAGACTTGTGAGGATCCCGAAGATACTCTGACCACACGCTGCCAAGAATTCTTACGATAATGTAATAAATTAATTAATGTTAAATTAATAAACATGTTAATTTAATTAAAGTTTATTATTGGAATTCTTATAATAATTGGAATTCTTATTAAGAAAATAATATTTAATAAAATAATAATTATTTCTTATTAAGAAATAATTCTTATTTAAAGAAAATTTTTATTAAGAATTCTCGTAACACTTATGGCCATTCCACACAAACTTGCATAGCCGCATAAACATATGCATAAAGAAAATCATCCAATCGTAGTTTACGCTCAGCTTTATGACAGAAATGTGATTGGATAATTTTCTTTATGCGTATGGTTATGTGGCTCTGCAAGTTTGTGTGGAATGGCCCTTATGGCCGCAGCACACACTCTTGTATAACGCATAATACATAGTGCATAATGGAATTAACCAATCGAAATTCTTCTTTTCCATGGAATGAGAGGAAAGGAAAGCTTCTGATTAGTTGATTCGCTTATCCACTATGCGTTATGCGTTATGCAAAAGCTTGTGTCTGGGCTCTTATAGCCGCGGCACATTATTAACTAATAATACGTATGTATATTCTTTGACTGAATTTTTCTCAAAAATACGATTGCGCACTGTTACTACTGCACTTTCAATGTACTTTATCTAAAATATCAATAATCCCCTCAAATTTAATTACATATTGTATCATGAACAATGAAGAAAATGTTTATTAAGAATTCTCTTAACACTTATAGCCGTGGCACAGATTCTTGCATAACGCGTAATGCATAGTGCATAAGGGAATCAACCAATCGAAATTCTTCTTTTCCGTGGAATGGGAGGAAAAGGAAGATTTTGATTAATTGATTCGCTTATGTACTATGCATTATGCGAATCAACTAATCAGAATCTTTCCCTTCTTCTTATTCCATAGAAAAGAAGAATTTCGATTAGTTGATTCCCTTATGCATTTTGCATTATGCAAAAATCTGTGCCGCGGCTATAAGAGCCCAGACACAAGCTTTTACATAACGCATAACGCATAGTGCATAAGCGAATCAACTAATCAGAAACTTTCCTTTCCTCTCATTCCATGGAAAAGAAAAATTTCGATTGGTTGATTTCTTTATGCACTATGTATTATGCATTATGCAAGAGTGTGTGCTGCGGCCATAAGTGTTACGAGAATTCTTAATAAAAATTTTCTTTGAATAAGAATTATTTCTTAATAAGAAATAATTATTATTTTATTAAATATTATTTTCTTAATAAGAATTCCAATTATTATAAGAATTCCAATAATAAACTTTAATTAAATTAACATGTTTATTAATTTAACATTAATTAATTTATTACATTATCGTAAGAATTCTTGGCAGCGTGTGGTCAGAGTATCTTCGGGATCCTCACAAGTCTTGATTTGATGACTGTGATGAGGCAAAATTATATTATTATTTTTAGATGTAAAATATTATTAAAATTTAATATCTAAAATAATAATATTACATATAATA